CAATTAACTGAAGCACAAAACAAGGACTTCAAAAAGCAAGTTTGAATGTGTTCAGGGTCCTTAAAGAAGACATGGATAAATGCCTAAAGGAAGGTCTTGAAAACACAAACAGTTGCATGAAATAAAACATATTCAAGTCATTAAAGTAAAATTTAAGAAAGACATAAAGTCAAGAAAGAAGTAAAACTTCTTTATTGAAGTCAACCAGAAGTAAAACTGTGTCTGAAAAACTGGAGATGTCAAACAAAAACCTCAGAGATCAGGGTATCAATCAATGGTCATCAGAGAAGCTTCTTGCAGGATATAGGAATTAATACCAAGACAACAGCCAGACGATGCGCAGGCAGTAAGCGACAAGCATTGAAGTAGGATGTCTTCATCAAACCTCTTCCCCCAAGGCTCAGGCATTTATTGAAAAGAGGAGGAGAAAGGATACTAAGAGCCCGAAATGATAGATGGATGAATCCGGACATGGCTTGATTCACTTGAACTCACTTGAAACCAGGACAGCACATGTTCAAGCCAGACAGGGTCCAGCACTAAGAGGGTTGAGTTGACACAGGGTCTCATCTCTAACCAAAAACCTATTTAAAATTGATTCCTGCTGGTAGAGGGGAATTTTCTCCAGTGGAGTGCCATGGAACTGGATTTATCAATCATACTTGAGGTCAGGCCTCAAGCCCAGGCCAACATAAAAGGATCTCCATGTTTTTGTGTGTTTTTTTGTTGCTTAAAATTAGTTTCATGACTATAATAGGTGCTAAAAGTACATTTGTATGTTTTAAGATATGACGAGATAAATTGTTAAAAACTAAACTAGACATTTGAAGTATTTTTTAAAGTAATTTTGTCCTTTGGCTGGAAGAGATGCTTCAGCGGTTACGTGTGCTTACTGCTCTTCAAGAAGACCTGAGTTCAGTTCCCAGCACCCATGTGGCAGCTGCATGTGACTCCAGTTCCAGGGGCACTAATACTTTCTGGCTTCCATGGGTATCCACACATTTGTGATAAACACATATATACACACAAATAAAAAATAGAATAGTTTTATTTAAAATGTAAGGTTTTTCTTTTATTCTTAAGGTGTAATGTGACTGCCCAATATTTTAATATGAAAGCATTAAATTCAGAGGAGTGGCTGAGGTGTTGCTCTGAAGGAACAAAGAGAAAGGCTGGCTTATACAGAGGAATGTCTTGCCTGGGTTCCCACTCTCTCTGCTATGCAAACCAAATATTTGGGATTGATTGGTTGGCATCGACTACAGGACGGGGTGGGAGTTAGAGGGTGAAGGAGAGTTGACTCAGTGGTAGAGCACTTGCCCAGGATGCTAGGGGCCCTGAGTTCCATCTCCTGCATCACAGGGTGAAACAAGAAAGCTGAGCACAGATGGCAGAAGGGACTTCCTGGAGGCTGTTTACCTTGGCAATGGAAACAGGAACATTCCCCAGGCAAGGGCTGCAAAGTCCAGTATGTGATAATTCCAGGAACACACAGTACTGGGTGACCCCATCTGGAAGATAGCAACTAGACTTTATTGTGACCATAGGTCCACTTAGCCACTTGGGACCTTATTTGAACATTCAAGTAAGATGTTTCTGAAGTGAGTGCGAAGGGGTGACACGTGGGATACAAAATTTATTCTCAGACACTGAGCCAGAGACCTTTGTTGCTGTGCTGGCCAACGGTTGATATGTTTTTGAAATGTGTTGTAAGCTGCCTGACATGGGGGCTAGGACTCGAACTCAGATCCTTGGGAAGAGTAGGAAGCACCCGTAACTGCTGAGACATCTCTCCAGCCACCCCCACCTCAACATCTATTTTTGTGTGTATTTATTTGTGTGTGTGTGAATTTGTGCCACATGTGTGCTTACTACATGTATGTATGTACCAAAGGAAGCCAGAGAGGGCATCTGATCTCCTGGAGATCTAGTCTAGTCTCTTCTAAAAGAACAGAGATACTTCTGATTATAGACACTTAAAATTGTGACAACAGGAAGGTGGTACCTGGATAGGAGTTGTCCCAGGATTAAGGGGGCAATAAAATGAGAAGAACAAAGGCCCTAATGGACTAGATGAACCTCTTGCTAAAACAAAGCCCCCAAGAGACTGGCACACATGCGCATAGAATTGCTGCTGAGTATATTATGTGGCTGGAGTTTTTTTGGCCTCCTACCTGACTGTTGAGACACAGGCTGGACACCAATGTCCCTCAAAGGCAGTGATCAGAGCATGTGTTCTCTTTGGTCACAAGGTCTACCTGTCAGGATATAAGACAAGAAAGAAGCATCACATAATTTTTGGTTTTGTTTTGCTTTTTACTGTTGTTTGTTTTAGGGACCCTCAGGAAAGTTTGTGTAAGTTGAGATCATGCTTCTGGAGAGATGACTCAGCAGTTAAGAGCACTTGCTGCTCTTCAGAAGGATCCAAGTTCCCAATATCCACATTAGTGGCTCACAGCCACTTGTAACCCCAGCTCCAGGAGATCTGATGCCCTCTCTGGTTTCCTTTGGTACATTCATACATGTAGTAAGCACACATGTGGCACAAATTCACACACACACACACGCACACACACAAATAAATACACACAAAAATAGACGTTGAGATGGGGGTGGCTGGAGAGATGTCTCAGCAGTTACGGGTGCTTCCTACTCTTCCCAAGGATCTGAGTTCGAGTCCTAGCCTCCACGTCAGGCAGCTTACAACTTAGTAACTCTAGTTCCAGAGGATCCAACAGCTACTCCTGACCTCCCAGGCACCTGTACTCATTCATGCACACATATCCACACGGAGTCATACCTGTGCAACATTTTAAAAACTAGAATGAATCTTTAAAAAAAAAAAGAGGTATTAAGTTGTTGGGAATTGTACACCAATCATTCTGCAAAGCCAGCTCCAACCTCAGGTTCACCAGCACCAATCCCTGTGCTCTTCCTGTGCTTCTACTCTTCCTAACAATAGGAATCTAGAGTTATCAACAGATCACTTTAACCCAAGAAAACTAGTTTCTCCTCATCCTCCTCTGCTTTCTATTGCTATGATTAAATTTCTGACCAAAGGCAATTCAGGGAAGAAAGAGTTACTAGGCCTACACGTCCTTGTCATGGTTTATCATTGAAGGAATCAGGGCAGGAACTCAAGGCAGGAACCTGGAGTCTGGAAGGTTCCAGAATGCTGCTCACTGATGTCCTTTGCATGGGCTCGCTCAGCTTGCTTTTTTATTCAACCCAGGAGCACCTGCCAGGAGGAGGTCACAGTCCACGGATCTCATAGCAATCATTAATTTAAAACAAAACAAACAAACCCCCCTGCCCCACTGTGACGGTTTGTATATGCTTAGCCCAGGGAGTGGCAGTATTTGGAGGTGTGGAATTGTTGGAGTAGGTGTGTCATTGTGGGTGTGGGGTTTAAGATCCTTGTCCTAGCTGCCTGGAAGTCAGTATTCTGCTAGCAGCCTTCAGATGAAGACATAGAATTCTCAGCTCTTCCTGCACCATGCCTGCCTGGATGCTGCTATGCTCTCACCTTGATGATAATGGACTGAACCTCTGAACCTGTAAGCCATCCCCAATTTAATGTTGTCCTTATAAGAGTTGTCTTGGTCATGGTGTCTGTTCACAGCAGTAAAACCCTAAGACACCCACAGATTTGTCTATAGGGCAACCTGATAGTCATTTCCTCACCTAAGGGTTCTTCTTCCCAGATAAATCTAGTTTGTGTCAGGTTGTTAAAAAGCTAACCAGCACTGGTCCTTGCAACATGGTTCTAGAATGCTGACTCTTAAGGAGTGTCACCCTTTGCTAGTCTTTTTGTCAGAGGTCCCAGATCTCAGCTGCAGCAGCCCCAGGGCAAGCACTGTTCCAGTCTGTGAAAGCTTCATTTGGACAGGAGAGTTGGGGTCATTCTGAGTAAGGTTTGTCCAGAGAGTTAGCAAATTACAACTAAATGGACAATAACTTTTAGTCATGAAATATGTTTGGAATGTAGGAAGTTGATGATCAAGAGATGGGCTGGAGAGATGGCTCAGTGGTTAAGAGCACCGACTGCTCTTCCAGAGGACCCAGGTTCAGTTCCCAGCACCCACGTGGCAGCTCACAACTGTCTGCAACTCTGGTTTCAGGGAATTTGACACTTTCACATAGACATACATGCAGGCAAACACCAATGCACCGTGTGTGTGTGTGTGTGTGTGTGTGTGTGTGTGTGTGTGTGTGTATGTTACTATATCTCTTGAAATATGGTCTCTAAGTCTTTTATCTGGAGTATAGGAGCTTTAGATTCAAGAGGACTTGTCTGGTATAATTCAACACTTCCAGACATACAACCAGTCTCTAGGGCTCTTGAAGACACTAATGTTATCATTCAAGAAGGTGCTGGAAAGCCTGGGAAAGTTGGGCTGGTGACATGGCTCAGTGGATAAAGGTACTTAGCACGAAAGCCAGATGATTTGAGTTTGATTCCATGGTGGAAAAATTAAACATACACCTGAAAGTTGTCATCTGACCTCCACAAGTACATGTGGGACACCTGTACCCGAATTGAAACACACACACACACACACACACACACAATAATAATAATAATAATAATGTTAATTATTTTTATTTGTTTATATACTTTGAAATAAGGTCTCTCTATGTATCCATACCTTGCTGTCCTGGCACTCTATGTGTGGACTAGTTTGAACTTAGATCCACCTGCTTCTGCCTTCTAAGTACTAGGATTAAAGATATATGGTACCATATATGGCTATTAATTTTTATTTTATGTAGATGTGTAAGTGCCTGCATATATGTTTGTATGCCATTCGTGTGCCTGGTGCCCCAAAAGACATGAAAAGGTCTTTAGATCCCATGGAGTTGGAGTTACAGATGGTTGTGAGTCACCATGTGGGTACTGGGAACTTAACCCAGATCTTTTGCAAAAGCAACACTCCAAACCATTGAGCCATTCTTAATTGCTGAACCACCTTTATAGCCCCATGTTTAAAAGGGTGTTTTATAATATGAAATAGTTCATAAATTGCATGTCATCCTTACATAGGAGCCATGCTAATCTTCTGTGTATCAATCCTATTTTGGTATATCTGCTGCTATTGTGAGCTCTAAAAATATGATTTTCACAGAACTGGGAAGGTAACCAAAGACCCACTTGTTTTATTTTGTTTCACTAATTGCTATTTTTGAGACAGGGTCTTGCTACATAGCTCAGACTATAACAGGGCCCCAGATCTTAGCACAACTGATTCTATCAAAGTCCATAGTTCTAGGGAAATCTCAAAATGTACTACTAACCTTGCATTTTGGCTTCTGTAGTTCCACTTCTGACTAACTGTTCTCGTTAACTGAAGTATGTCAACACAGAACACAGTATGTATGATTAAAAGCTCATCCTGAGAAAGGCTTGGGACTACACTGGGATCCTGAACACTCATCATAGTCACCAGCCAGCTAATAAAGACTTTCTATTGGCTTAACCCCATGTCTGAGTAGTCTTCTCTGGTGAACACCCCACAATGAGACTAGCTTTGAGCTTAGGATCTTCCAGCCTCTGCCTCCTGAGTGTTGGAATTACAGTCTATACCTGGCAGGATGCCACTTCTGATACCTGACTATATCAACAAAAAATGTACTAGAGAAGAATTTGAGAAAAAAGAGACAGTTTATTTTAGTTTGAACATTTTTTTATTTACTTTGCAGCCCTGAAGATTGAACTTAGGGTTTCATACATGGTAGGCAAATGGTCTACCACTCATACAAGCTTTTAAATAGCAGCTTGCAGTTTGGGAGACACAGCAAAGCATGGGGTCCAGAGTTTGGATCCCTAGTACCCACATGAAAGCCAGGCATGGCAGTGTGGCACCTCTGTATCCCATTGCTGGGGGGAGGGAAGCCTTTGGGGGCAAGTTAATACTCACCAGCATCTTCTAAAGCCATAAGCTCCAGGTTCAGTGAGAGAGCTCTCAAAAGACAAGGTGGACAGCAAGTAAAGAAGATGGATAACTTTTATCTCTGGCCTCTGCAAATGCTCATACATGGACACACACACACACACACACACACACACACACACACACAGAGTCAGCAAACAGAGATACAATACCTGAGGAACAGTCTTGATTGACATTTAAATTTGACTTCAAGCGGCAAAAAGAGCGTCTGGAAGCTGCTTATCTCATGGTTTCCAGAGGAATGCATCTGAGCAAAGGCGACAAGTTTCGGTCTGTGGTTCTTCTAGGACATCCTGTATCTGACCTCTCATTGGCAGATGGCTATCACACGTGGCCATTGAACTGAGACCCATTTAGCTACCTTGACCCTTCTTGAAGATTCAGCTCTTGTAAGCTTTCATGCTGCAAGTGGACAGATAGATTAACAAACATACGAAACAAGGTCTGGCAATGCAGTGCAGAAACTTCTGTTTCTATGGTACTGAGCTGTCAGCCTCCTGGCAGTAGATGTGTTATCTCCTTGAAGCACTCTGAACTCAGTCTGTCTGACTATCTATCTATCTATCTATCTATCTATCTATCTATCTATCTATCTATCATTACATTCTAAGAATCACCGAAGAATGATGCCCCAGACTCAAATAGTATCCCAAAGCAAAGAGCATTTATTCAGCTGAATTTCCTGAATGCAGGAGTCTCCCCATTTGGGAATGGAGACCCATGGTAAATTCTCAGACCCAGCTTTTATTGTCCGTTAGGGGAACTCCAGAGAGGGGTATATGCCCTTTTACTTTGTTTGGTTAGCACTATCTCTAGGGGTCTGACTGATACTACAATTGGTTAGGTTCTGACAGCTTCCCAGAGGGTTGGTTATGCATTGTAGCTACCTATTCTTACTTCAGGCCAGGTGACAAGGTGTCCTCGGACTGGCTGCCCATGGCTGTGGTTGGCTGATCACAGGGTCCTGGATCTGGATTCTCATTTCTGGGAAAAAGAAACTTAGCCCTAGTCTCCCAAACTGCCAGTTTTCAGCCTGTCATGGAGTCAGCCTGGCTCTGACTAACTCAGTCCTCACACTACCTTTCTCTCTCTCTCTCTCTCTCTCTCTCTCTCTCTCTTGTGTATTGGTGGTTTTCTCTTTCAACTTGACCCAGAGTCATCAGAGAAGAAAGAGCCTCAGTTGAGGAAATGCTTCCATGAGATGGAGAGATAAGGCATTTTTTTCAATTAGTGATTGATGGGGGTAGCCCAGCCCATTGTGAGTGGTGCCATCTCTCAGCTTGTTCTCTGATATGCTGGGTTCTATAGGAAAGCATACTGAGCAAGCCAGGGAAGCAAGCCAGTAAGCAACACCCCTTCATGGCCTCTGCATCAACACTGGGCTCCAGGATGCTACCCTGTTTGAGTTCCTGTCCTGGCTTCCTTCAGCAAAGAACAACAATGTGGAAGTGTAAGCCAGATACCCAAATACTGCCCAGAGAGAGCTGGTCTCCCAGGAGTGCTGTGAGCACAGGTAAGACCACAACTTCTGCTCAAATTCCTGGAAGGTGTAAGCCAAATAAACCTTTCCTCCCCAACTTACATTTTGGTCATCATGATTCATTGCAGCAATAGAAAACCTAACTAAAACATTTTGCTGCAGGTCTTTACTATTTAGTTCTAGCTGGCTTCAAGATTGCAGCAATTCCTTCACCTCTGCCTACTGAGTGCTGGAATTACAAGTATGAGCCACCTCACCTGCCCTAGGATACTTTCATTTACTACTGTGAATTTGGCTATCAGCAATAGGCAACTGAAGACCTCCGCAGAGGGGAGACCCTCACTCAAGTCTCAGAAAGTTGCGGCCACCCAGTAATCTGCTCGAGACACCATGTACCAGAGCAATTGCGAGGTTTATTAGGGCGTGACAACTAGCTGCCGGTCAATTCGTATGCCCACGCAGGAGCTGAATTGACCCCCGACAGCCAGTTTGAGAGGGGTTTTTAAGGGGAAAAACCACAAACCAAGGAATGGGGAGGGGGCCCATGGTTGTTAAGGTGGCATAACATAAAAATAGCAGAACATTCCAAAGGAACCCAACCTACATGAGTCAGGATCAGGTGAAAACTCTCTGTACGGTTATCTTTCTCAAGAATGTGGTCCTGCCCTGTCACTGTGGCCTTGCCCTGTCACTGTGGTTCTCAGCTTGGTTCCACCTGGCTATCTTGCATTCTAGCCAGTTCCCGTAACTAGTCTGTCCACATTCTTAACTTGCTTCATGGCTCGATTTCTCCATGTCTTTATAAAGAAAGCCTAAAGAATATTTTATATGTCTAAAAAGGATTCTATATACCCAGTATCTATAATTTTTCACTCTACAGCAACAATGTCCTGTAGCCTGCTGTACAGTTTAGATCTTAAACTGTCCCCAGAGGCTACAAGCTAACAGGTTGGTTGCCAGATGATGGCAAGTGATTGAATCTTTGACCTCATTAATGGATTCATCATTTGACCTCCATGTGCAATCCTTAGCACATTTTCTCACATATATCGTGAGTACATGCATGTGTGGGTGAGTGCACATGTGCATACATGTGTGAACACACATGTTAACAAATAATTTTTTAATCTTATTTATTGGTCAACTAATTATTCCCAGAAAAGAAACCCATAGCAAAAGTCAAATAAAAATGTTTTAATGTATATCATGTAGAGGCATTTCAATTAATATAAAGATGGCCCAGAAGGCTAAGGTACTTTCTGACAAGCCTGAGGACCTGTATTTGTATTTGATCTTCTAGATTTATATGGTGAAAGTAGGGAGAACCAACTCCATCTTAGAGAACCTGACCTAAGGTTCGACTCAAGTTAACTAACCGGTTAATATCTAGCACCAGTTTCCAGGTTACACCCCAACAAGACCTGTGTCTAGTACCAGTTTCCAGGTTACTCCCCAACAAATCTACACCTCCAGGTTACAAGCCTGCCCCAGACACTTCACTTCCTAACAACCACCCATCAGGAGAAAAACAGAAGTTAAGTTCATGGTTTGGCTCACAGCACCTGCCAATTACGTTAAAGGGCATAATGCTTCCCACCCCCACAATCAAATGTGTACCAGGCTAGATATTCCCTTCTTGCTTCTATAAATACCCGCTTGAAGTTGAGCTGGGGGCTGCTCCCTCCAGTTCTGCAGCATCAGACTCTGTGTGGCCCAAGCTGGAGCTTATAAATAAATACCCTAGTGCGACTGCATTGGAATCGTCTCCTGGCTGGTCTTTTGGGCCTCACCAGTGCTTCATGACACAACATTAGGACCCACAGAGATAGGAGAGAACTAACTCTTACAAGTTACCTTCTTACCCACTCAGGAGATGGATACATAAACATATTCACAAACAATAAATGTAGCAGAGAAAGGGGTGGGAGAGAGGGGGAGAGGAAGAGAGAGAATATTTCTTTAAATCTTAGATCTGACAGAGTCTGGGGATGAATTTGTCCTGGAATATCCAGCCATATAGTATCTAGTTGCTAATTTCTTTTTTTTTTTTTAATATCTTTTAAAAAACAGCTTCTGCCGGGCGGTGGTGGCGCACGCCTTTAATCCCAGCAATTGCGAGGCAGAGGCAGGCGGATTTCTGAGTTCGAGAGTTCGAGGCCAGCCTGGTCTACAGAGTGAGTTCTGGGACAGCCAGGGCTACACAGAGAAACCCTGTCTCGAAAAACCAATAAGTAAATAAATAAATAAATAAATAAATAAATAAAATAAAAAACAGCTTCTTTTATGTGTATGACTTTTGCTCACTGACCTGTATGTATACCACATGTCTGCCTGGTGCTCATGGAAGGCAGAAGAAGCCAGAAGAGGGGGTTGGATCCCCTGGAACTGGAGTTATAGATAGTTGTTAGCCACTATGTGGGTGCTGGGAACTGAACCCAGATCCTTTTGGAGAGCAGCCAGTGCTCTTAACCACTGACCCATCTCTCCACCTGTGAGTAAGAAAGAGGTGCATCTTAATAAATTGTTTTAAAACGCAAGTTTAAGGAACAAAACAGAAATGAACCAATAAATAAGAGAAAGAGGTACAAACAAGTAGTAAGTTTAAAGGTGGTGTTGCTGCTTTAAGCATTTTTAGAAGAGAGGGAGCTGAAGCAGCAGATTGGGTCTCCCCCTCC